TTTGTGTGTAAGATAGACAATTTGCATAGTTGTAATTGTGAATCATATGCTTGATTTTGACCAGAAATCATAGGTGAATGCTGAAGGAGCCTTTGAAGAGGGAGTGAGGCCACCAAAAGTATGTTAAAGAAGGGCAACACAATGTGTAGTATGAAATCCTGTAGAGACCAGGCTAAGTGAATTGCAGCTTAATATCAAACTCAGTTAAAGTTCAAATCCCACAATTTACTTAATGGTGTAGCTCCAACACTGGAGCTCAACACCACTGGAGTTCAACACAGTGGTGTGTTGGAGAACAGAAATTAAAGATTCAGGAAAAGATAAAATACAACTCACACTTCTAGGTTTAAATTAGAAGGTATACAGCTATGGGTTTTAGATCTACACTACTCCTAATCACCTTTATCAATTAAATCAAGCCTTGTTCTGGCTTTATGAGGAGACTTGTCATGCACAAAACACACCAACTCATATTCTTGTGGCAAATCACACAGAATGAGGGTAAGTATGATAAAACCTGATTAGCTGACCAATACTTTAGAAGACCCTCAAGCAAGTTCCTGTGAAAAGACTGATGTTTTCTCTGGATTTGCAGTGCTAGAAAGGATTGTAGTGCCAGACAGGGGTTCCCACCCTCATCATTCTATTCACAAGCAGAGAAATCACCTGCTCTTGTCTTGATGTTGGTGAGCTCAATTTCTGCATCATGGAAGAATATGGTATGTGGGCTGTAGCAAGACATATCAGACATGGTACTGATTTTACTGGTCAGTGTGCAAGGATAACAAGCCCTGCTGTGAATAAAAGGAGAAAAGTAGGAAATATGTACAGTACATTATTATTTTTTTTCATGTTATTGGAACTGGAAAAGAAAAAAAGAAAAAATTAGGCTGGAATAGAATCAAAGCAAACACATTCCAGCAAAAACAGAAAACCAGAATTCATCCCAAACGTGTCATTAAAAGGCAAACTTCTGTTCATCTTAGAAGTATTATCTGAATGGTTAGAGGAAGCCATTTCTGTTTTGGATCGGCATCTCATGCTGCTGCATATTTTTAATGGTGGTTACAAAGCAAACACACTCAGCAGGTCATTCTTCGCTGACTCTGCACTCGTTGGATCCCCCTGGATCCATAAGTGCTGTTCTTATTCATAAGTTCTCCACACAAATGATTGTGTGCAGCAGAGCTCAGCCTGCACGGAAAACAATAAATGCTTTTGAAATTGTGTTTCTTCAGTCTGAATACTCATTAGATAAGTCTACTTCGGAGCCAAGGGGCACCTAACAATAGCCTCACAAAGATTTGATGTTTTCTTTTAGCTATATAAAGTAAATTTTAAGTTTTGTGTGGGTCTCAGATTAACTGCTGTGGAGAATGGTGTCTTGATTCTCTCCATAGAGGACTGTGGAGATAGCAGAACAAATTTTCTTACCATATCTTATTCAGGAGTGAAAAGTTCCTAACAGTTTTTCTGACTAACTGTGGCCCAGTAATCCTTGCATTGCACTTCTCTGGTAGAAGAAATACCTATTCTGATTTTCCGTATGTTTAAACTTTTCATTTAAAACCAACTGAGCTTATGCACTTGGATAAAGTTTAATATTCATTAGAAAATAATGTTTTCTGAGGGCAATAATAAAAGTCTAAATCAACCAATTTCAGGAACCTTAAAGAAGAAAATAAAAAGATCTACAGTGTCTTAGATAGGTAATTCCAGAAGGGATATTAGAAGATCATCTGTTTCAGGCTCAATACAATTCCTAATTTGTATATTGCACTCCTAACAGAAGCATGCATACTTATGAACACCAAGTCAAGGTTTATTCTTTCTTTTAAATTGATTTACTTCTTATGGAATGTGGAAATGGTTTGTTGTTTGTCAGCCTGGTGCAACATAGCTCCAGCTGGAATATCACAATTACCAATCTCAACAATTCCGTGTGAGATACTATTAACTAATCCCTCTGTACTTATCTGTCTATGAGTCTGCTTCAGGCACTGATTCGTCAGTTGCCATCATCCACATTATTTCAGCACTGAGCTTTTTCTTCCAGATAATAAAGTGTTTACAGATTCTAAAGTCAATTATAGATCTACATATGGAATAGTTAACAATCATAATAACAAAACAAACAAAAAACCATCAACAGATGATTTAAAGGATATCTCTGAACATAATTTACAACATACCTTACGTAGTTAGATTGACTGTATCTTGGGATATTTAAATCTGAAACAGATGGTCAGGTGATTTGAAGATCAGTCAAGGAAATCTGGAAATTACCTCTGAGCCACATGGAAGAGTATCTGCTAGACTGAAAAGGGGAAAATGATGAGGTTGTTGATTGGACTAGGGGATAAATGAGAATACAATAGATATTTGCTTCCATAGACTGAAACAATCATTTTCTAGGTAATGAAAATGGTATTCACCATGATATACTTAGGAAAGGAGAGATGCATTTTGACAGGCAATGTTCAGTTGCAGGCAGTATAAAATCAGTGCCAATATAGAAACAGGAAATGTATCTTATAAATAAACATGAGTAAATGTATGAAGACTCCAGGAATGTGAAGTGACAGTTAAAGTGGCACCTTGTGGTTCATCATATTTGATCCCACGGTGTCAATGTCACAGTGGCAGCTGGTATCAAGAATCACTGGTGGAGAAGAGGATAATAAGCAGCTCTCCTCATCCTTGACATCTTTTCTAACCAAGTTATTCATATGTATGGGAGTGGAAACTGGGACAGCATTTTTGGAAAGGAGGAAGCAGATAAAAGAAGAGATGCTTAGATTCACTATACTCGGATCATGCCCTCAAGTAAAAAAAGTTAAGATGTTTCAGCAGCAGGTAAAGAAGAGGAAAATAACATTTATCCATCCTTAGGGACGCCATTTCTTCTTCAAATTCTGATCTATGTTCTTCTGCCCCAGAATCACTGTGTTTTGTATTGTAAACACAGCTTAGCTGACCTGTGCAGATGGCTTTAAGTGACAGGCATTATGCCTTCAAATCACTTCAGGAAGTCAACTCTTCCCTAAGCCAGCTGAGGGCTCCAGCTGTTTAGTTGTTGGGTAAAGAAAAGGAAGAGGAACAATTTCCCTTTCTCCTATTAGGGATCTGAGTTTTCCCAAGCAATGTGAGGGGCTCCTAATATACTTCATCTGAATGCTAAGCTGACAAAGCAGGCCATTAGTGAGGATGCAAGAGTTTTGTGAAGCGTACTGCAGCTGGAGAAGATGGTAGTTGTCAGTTGTCAGAAATTTCCCATTACGTCCAGTATTCCACTTTTGTCTACCTCCACCAGATGAGTCAGAATTGCTTTCTTTTCTGTTTTATTTTATTTTGTTCAAGGAGAGATGCATGTCTCATTCAGTCTATGCATTAGATTATACTTTTCTTCACACTCTACAAAGAAAAATCCTATGCAAGCACATCATGAATATGAATTAATATTCAGCATCAGCTTGTCAAAGCCTTTCTGTGGCACATTACTTTCAAGAGACAAGAAACATGGATGATCCAAGATACTAAGGAACCTTCTAAAAACTTTCTGTAAATCATCAACATCCATGTGAATAGGAGATAAGTTGAAAGGACATGGCTTTCCAGGCATATATGAAGACTGGAACTTCTAACTGTACATTATCTATAGGCTTCACAGAAATATCAGCACAGGACATGAATATGGGACAGATTGAAAGATACTTCCTCTCCTCTAACACATGCACCTTTACATTCTCAAATCCCAGCAACTGTTTGGTGCTTTTTACATTAGTACTTTATTTATAAATGGAACTGTATCTGTTGAAAACAATTTTTTATTCTCTTGAAAAGATATTCATTCAAATATCTACGTAGCATTTGTATACATTCATCAGTATTTGAAATGCAGTCTATAAATTTTCCTATATATGCACATATATTTATAAATTAAAAAAAAAATACCCTTTCCATGATCTTTTCTGCAATGAAATTGCTATGAGCAAATTACATTTTCTTTTTTACTGTTTACTCAGCACTGTGAAATATATTGACTGCTAAGTTTCTATGCCTTTTTTTCTCTACAGCTTAGGAAAATGGAAACCCACCTTTATTAATCTTGAGTGTTTTCCTTATTGTCCTATAAATTTTCACTGCAGCTTTGACCTCTTTCAAATGTATAGCTAAAAGAATTAAGACATTTTTATTTATAGCCATTTCCAAAACAGCTGTGCATCCTCATGCTTCTCTTAAGGATTTTCTCCCCTGTGGATATTTCAGTTATGAAACCATGTGGCTGACATATTAAAAAAATCCATTTCAAAAGAATGACTGGAGCCATTATTATAGTCTATGTAGTCTATGATGTAGATCATGCTCCCATTAATCCTTTCCTTACTATCCTTAAGCCACCTGAATTGTGCTACTGACTTCATGAAAACTGTAAATATGAAAAGTCATACCACAAGGTTTGTTCCCGTGTATTTCTTTCTTGATCTGCTGCTGGCACATGAAAGACCTTAGTAAAAGGCTTTGTTAATGAGCGAAATGTGCAGACCTGGAAGCACTCTGGTTCACTCAATTCTATGAAATCTTGGGTTCTGACCAGGGTTCTTTGATATCAAAGATGAACAGATGCAGATGTCTGAGTCTTCTGAAGCTCTCTGTCATTCAGACTACATGTGCTGAAACACACATGAGAACCCACTGCTCCAATCTTTTTGAATTGTTCTTACCATCAGAACATGAGAACGCTTAGCCCTGAATACTTCAGAGAATACTTCAGGTCCCAAAAAAAGACAAAAGAGAATCTTTGTCCAGAATTTTTTTTTTCTAGCAATTTTTAGGCCAGATATCCAGCTTACTATGTTACAGACTAGACAGCATTCCTAAACATAAAGAAGAAATTTGTGCAAATTAATGAGACAGAACAGGAAAATAAATAAATAAATAGTTAAAATGTTGAAATGGGAAAAGAGAAATAACAAAAATCAAACAAGAACATTACTCACATGCAGCATGACTGAGAACTGTCTGTTGCCATCAAAAAATAGTGAAAAATAAATAGCCTAGAGACAATAGATGACCCACACAACAGACACTTACACGACACTCAGAGCCATCACCTAGAGACAGAATAAAAACAAATGACCCCAAGCAATATGAGATGAAAGCTGATGCCCCTCAAATCACAAAGTGCTGCAGATGATCTGTGCCACTAAGGCCAGACTGTTGATAGTGTGAGAACTTTACCAGTTTAACATCAAGGTAAGTCCACTTTTGCTATACTCACACCTCATCAAACTAAACTCAGTCTGGGTTTTGACCATGGATTTCAGATAATTTTGTCTGACATAATTCAGATAATTTAATGCTGACTTAGGCCACTGTTGTTGACATTTGTTGGCACCTTGGCTAATGCCATAGGAGATGCCAGCTGGCTTGTCAGTATGGATACAGGAATGGGAGCTCTTGGTCAAGCTCATATTCCACTGCACAAGGCAAGAGAAGCACAACTCATCTGTGGGTTTACATCTGTGCCCCATATAAAAACAGCATAGCAGTGCTCAGTTACATGGGATTGGCTTCATGTCTAATTGACAGCCTGGAGACAATTCTCTTGATCACCAGCTTTTCCTACAACTGTCCATGTCTTTGCTTTACCTTCACTTTACCTTCAGATCATTCACCTCACTCATTTCTGCTGAGAGGATGAAAGAGCAAACTGTGAATATCAGCAGCTGGTCAGACTACTCAATGTGCTACTGGAGAAGGAGCAAGCCTCACCATGCCACTTGTGCAATTCTTGGAGAAGATGGGCTGAGGATGGGATGCATCCACTTTACTAAAGTACCACTTTAAAGTATACATCTCAGAATTTTTTTTTCAAAAATCAGAAAAAAAAAAATCTCAAACATATTTTTTAACACGATAAATAATTTTGGCATAACTAAGGGTGATGAAAATCAGGGTAAGGACAATACTTGATTTATAAAATGCATAAAAGAGTTCAGATGGTAGTTACAAACCTGCGCTTTTAATCCCATTTAAAAAACAGTAAGGAAACATATTTGTGCAGTTACTTCAGTCTTGAGTTTACTCTGCCACCAACCAAAACTGTGCTTGGGTAAATTGCTCATTCTAGAGATTTCTGGCTTCCTGGCAATTAAGCAAGAAAATAATTATTATTTCTACAGTTCACAATTACTGCTCCTGTTAATAATTATCATTATGCTCTGTCAGTAAAAATCATTCTGATTTAGGAAGAGGCATGGAACTGTCGACAAGACAAAGTTTAGTGAAATGAAATTAGTTTTAGAAAAAAAAATTATTTGCTTGTGATCCAATGAAATGGAAAGAGTGTATATGCCAAACTGATGATTATGCTATAAAAAGTCTCAACAATAACTAATTCATATGTAATAACATGAATTTATTCATAAGGTTATGAAAAGATCTTGGTGTCACAGACTAGATACTTGAGAGTGAACATAAGGCTGTCTGGATCACAGTGTCCTTTTAGTAACTTATGATTAAATCATGCTACAGATAGCAAATAAGGCTTTTATTATTGGAAAATTATTTCATCTAGCACATAAAATTGCTGGAAAAGTCCTTCCTTAATTACAAATTTTACACACTTCTTTAGTACTATCATGCAAATGTTTTCTCAGAAGAGCAAGCATTGCCAAAATAAATCAGAAAAATAACCTACAGATTAATGAGCTTTAAAAAACAGTTACATTTTAAATTTTTTAGAAATGTATTCTAGGTGGCCGTTAAAGAAAAGAAGTGAAAGATCACAGATTCAGATTTGTCAGACAGCTATCATTTGCTTCAGTGTAAAATGATCTTTGGGATAAAAATGAACAGGGCCACAGCAGGGCCACATTCTCTAAAAGGGAAGATATGAGTCTTGTGGTAAGTCACAAAACATCAGCCTGCCTCAGTACCAATGCTACTCTCCTTTAAAGTAATTATAAAATACTTTTCTGCTATGTTTAAATATAAGCATTAAATAAAATCAGAGTTCATTAAAATGGAATTTAAATATATATATATTAAAGCACCTATATTTTTCAAAGTATTGAGGAACTTAGGAAAGCTTCATCTTCTCTGTTACACACCTGAAGTTGACAGAATCCCAGAATATTAAATAGGATTAATACCATTTCATAGAATCATAATAATAAAATCATAGAATGGTTTGGATTGGAAGGGACTTCAAAGATCATCCATTTCCACCCCCTGCTACAGGCAGGGACACCTCCCTCTAGACCAGGTTGCTCAAAGCCCCATCCAGCCTAACCTGGAATGCTTCCAGGGTGGGGGGCACCCACAATCTCACTGACCAACTTGTTCCAGTGTCTCACCACTCTCACAGTAAAGAGTTTCTTCCTAATGTCTAAATCTACCTTTTTCCAGTTTAAATCCATTTTCTCTCCTTCTGTCACTACCTGCCTTTATAAAAAGCCCCTCTCCATCTCTCCTGTAGGCACCCTTCAGGTACTGGAAGGCTGCTATAAGGTCTCCTTGAAGCCTTCTCCTCTTCAGGCTGAAGAGCCTCAGCTCTCTCAGCCTGACCTCATAGGGAAGGTGCTCCAGACCATTTCAGCTGGTAGAAGTGACTTAAAGAAGTAAGAAACCCTTTCTTGGTATCCTCCAATGTAGTGGGAAACAAAAAAGAAGAATCATAACATCATAGAATCAATACAATTAGAAAAGACATCCAAGATCATCTAGTCCATTCACTGACCTACCAATATCATGCCCACTATACCACGACATTCAGTGCTGTATCTACATGTTTCTTGAATGCTTCCATGGACAGTGACTCCACCACCTCCCTGGGCAGCCTGTTCTGAGACAGGCTTCACCCTTTGTTCTGAGATTAAATTTTTCCTAATATCCAACCTGAACTTTTCCTGGTGCAACTTAAGTCCATTACTGCTCATCCAATACAGAATAACACAGGTAGTTCCAACAAGGTCCTGATATGGTGGATGGCTTTCTAATGGAGGAAAAGGATCATTTGATTATCTCTTGAATTGTTGCTGTTGCCATTTAATGTCTTATGGAGGGCTGCTGCGAATAATCCTGACTTGAGCCCAGGTTCATAATCTCTCTTTTAGTCTAGTTCCAAAACCATTCGGTTTTTCAGATATGTTGAAATGATCCTTCTGTCTATACCTTTTTACAACATCTTCATCGAGCTTCCCCATGAATAAAAATAAATCCTGTTGACACAGAGCCATAATTCACATGAGCTAGATTTGCCAAATTCAGGAGAATTTGCCTGGGATATATTCCAACATGCAAGGAGTTGAAAAAAAGCACCTAAAGGTCAGAAAAAAGAAGGAGGGTGAAAGGAAAGATGTGTAACCAGACTGATCATGAGAATGCCCTATGCTGTAACAGATGATCAAAATCCCAGCCACTTGCAGTATTTTATTCTACAACTCATGTTCTGGGTGACCACTGCAGCAAAGAACACTTGCTTGCATGACTGATTCACGTCCTCACACCTGCTGCTGCTGACATTAGGAACATGCTGAGCCTGAAGGTCATGAGTTTTGTACAGTTTGTGTCAGCCTCCACTACAGCTGTTCCAGAAAGCTTTCCTGCATGAGATATTATACGTACTGTATCTATCATATAGTGGTGGATATCTTGTCCTCAGAAACATTCTACTTCATTTGGAGACTCTCATGGCAAGATCCCATTGGCTGTATTGCAACTATCACAGATCTTTTTTCTCAGAAAGTTACTCCATGAGGTAACATGCCAGCAAAAAGAAATCTGTTACAGTAAATGTGCTTGGTTTCTGGTCTCCTTTCATTTGTGCTTAGGGTCCTGCACTATAGCTTCCTAATATGTTGGAAAGTTGAAAAGCATATCTACCCTCCCTCACTGGTATTGCAGAGAAGTGGGACACATCCTGCCCAAATTAGGAGCATAAAAACTATTCCATTTAACTGCATCTTACCAATATTATGCGCTTTTGCTCCCTCACCTTGGAAGTGCAAGCTCTAATGCTGGCACAGCTGTGATGCAGATACCCAGCAAGGACTCATTTTTCATTCTTTTCCTCCAACATCTGATTTTCCTCTATTCACATACTTCACTGAATATGTAAGTCAGAAAACAACAAAAATCATTATAAGAAAACACTACCTTACTTTTGGCAACATGGGGGAAAAAAAATGGGTTATTCTTGTTTGGTTTTGGATTATTTGCTTGTTCTTCTTTGGTTTTGGACTGTCTTCCTTTAGATTGATATTCATTATATAATTCTATCCTGATAAAACATTTTAAATCATGCCTGCCTTTGTGTGTCAGGTGCGTTTCTGATTGTTCCTTTGTACTGGTAACCCCTGGGTCTGAGAATCTATGGTAATTCCTCTCGTCTAATTCACAAAACTTAAAGCTAAAGAACCAGAGCTTTCCCTCACAAAGGATGAAGAATGTGACTAATTATGATCTAAGCAGTAAATCTCTCCAATAAAGTAAAAGTGGAAGTGTAAAGAACAATTTCATTTTCCATAGAGCACTATATACACTACATATTACCAGGTTCTGGTACTTTCAAAGACATTGCTTTGGTCATTTAGATTTTACTTTTTTTTTAATGATCTTTTTTAGATTAGCAACACAGTTAATTTATTTGATTTACTTCATACTGGAGCTGCTAGCAGAAAAGAGGAAGTGCAGTGTGATAATGAGATTCCTCATGCAAACAAAAAAAAAAAAGTAATATGACCTCAAGAAATAGATGAGCTTTCCAAATCTTTTTTTTTTTTTTTTTTTTTACTAATTATTTAAATATCATCTTCATTCAGATATACCTTGTGGACTACAGTCTTTGACAGAGGTATGTTAGTAGGCGAATGGACTTCTGGGGAAATTGCAGGAACAAAAGCGATTCAAAAGGAAGTGGTAGCTGTGGAATTTTTCTAAGATGGAAAATCACATCAATAGATGCATTGTTGCTAGTGAGTAAAATTAAAAGAGGAGTATCTCTTGGTGAATTTTCTTTCTTTGCCCAAGTAATTAATGTATTATTGGCCTCAAAAATGATTAGATAACTTTTTTGCTTTCTCAGAGCAACCTTCC